AGACTGCCTGATGTAAAGAATGCAGACAACATTTTGCTACTAAGTGAAGATCCAGGTAAGTTGCAAGCTTTTTCTGAGGGTCGAGTGTATGCCGCAACAGTTCGGTCAATTCTGTTATACGGTGCAGAAACTTGGCCATTAAGAAAATAGGATAAAGACAGATTGTCGGTGTTTGANGGTGTTTGAACACCACTACGCAGCATTGCACGAATCTGGTGGGGTAGCCGGGTGAGCAATGCTGAGGTTAGACGCAGAGTTTTGGGTATCCGTGATGGCCCACTGGAGCAAGTGGTTGACCACCATAGATTACGTTGGTTGGGGCATGTGTGACGCATGTCACCAGATAGGTTGCCACGACGCGCGATGTTTGCCGAGGCAGGTAGTGGGTGGAAGAAAGTCAAGGGTGGCCAAGCAAGGACTTGATACGACGGTATGAAAACCCTGACCAGGAGTCTGGGTCACACAGGTCGCGTCAGGCTCGCTGACTGGGGACCTCGGGATGATCGTACCCGATGGTTAGAGACACTGACTGATATGGCTGGGTGTCGTGAACAGTGGTGTTCTTGCATCTTCTCGATTTCTTTGTAATGTCAGACCACTGAACGTCTCCATTTTCTGTTCGACTTTGCCAAAACACAGCAACCAAAACCGGTGCACGAAAGTGCATGGTTCATGGTTGTTCAAACTGGAACTTCTTTAACGAGTAATAACGCATCATCGACATGGGACAACAGGTTAAAGAAAATTAATTCAAAATAGTAATCAAGATACTCCATACCTCTTAAGCAAATTCATACTGTACCAGTAGACGCGGCAGGAATAAAGTTATTGCAATCAACTCAATATGCAAAAAAGCTGTTTATTTAAGTCCTCGCACGACCTTGATCCAAGTCCAACACAGGACCGAAAAGTCCTCATAACCTCATAAATTAAACCGGAAGTGTGTAGCGTAGCCTATCCTGGTTACAATATCCCTGGACCAAGTTATTAATCTGTAGTCTATTCTAAGTCAGAGATAAACAACTTAAATTTTTAATTTTGGCATATCTCCTAACCATTCTTTACCACAATCAGTTTGGTCGCTATTCATGGTGTTCTGTCAAAATGGAATCAAAATAAATGTGAACGAAACAAGCCTTTTCGTTTCGGGAGTTATGTCATGCAGTATTCAGACAGTTTCACACCAGGTAGGATGTGATTAAAAGGCAATCGGTTTCGAGATCAAAACGCAGAAAAAAAACGGGTTATTCTGCATGTGCGATACTGAACACCCACAGCTTGTGTAAATCAACCACCGACCAATCGAGTGTGCTTCGGCCCATAAATGTTCGACCTCCACGTTTCTTTCAACTACTCAGACGAAATACGCTGTTCGGTTGTACATATACTATGTGACAAAGGCCTTTCTGCTTCTTTGCGGAACATTCCGGGCTCACAACGGGATCAGTTATCAATAACTTCGCGTTTACCGAGCTATAGCTCGCCTGTAATAATGATGTAGAGAAGCTAAGTAATTGATCATTGATGCCGATCGTGGATGGCAAACGTTAACTGGTAAAACGAGATTTCTTATGATTTTGACCGATTACAGGGCATTTTTTCTCTTAATCGTGCGGTTATTTGCGATCTCACTTCCACTGGTTTATCCTGCGTTAGATAATCGCGGTCACACTCTAACACTAGTGCTACATTTTTATCGGTTACGGTGGTTCGGGTGTGCGTTCTGCATGCCAACGAATGGGTTCAGCCTGTAGGCAATGTTTTCCAAGGTAGTAGTAGATGGAAGAAGACTAAAATTGGTTAAACTAGAACCTAGATTGAGAGTATGACCACACTGAATAAGAAAATCGGTCAAAGAGCTTGCATGAGGTTTCCTGGTTGAGGAATTCGGGACCAGCCTAATCGATGTTAGAAGAAATTAGATGATGTGACCGAGTGTTTTTTAACAGTGGCGCTCGTGAAAAATCCAGTTCACTTGCTTTTCGTATTTCTAAGCTGAGTGCTCTCAACTTTCTAGTGGTCAGCAAAATGAGTTCGAAGAAATCAACAACAAAAGTGGTGCACCAAACTGCAAGGTAAATGGTTGCGCAAGGTGGAACGAAGCTTCATAAGAAATTTTCAATGAAAAGGCAAGACTACGAATTTCATAGACCCAACTGTAACATGACGTTAATCCAAGCAGTAAATCAATGAATGACATCAAGGAAACAGAAAACACTCACTTGTCCTATAAGTAAGTTGACCCGATATAGACCGTCAGTGACTGAAGACGATAAACATCCGGTACCCTGGTCTGTGCCGACACCATCGGTGTCGTGCGTTACACTGCCAACTGCGGTCCCCGAATCGGTAGGCAAACTAGAACCAGGTGAACCGCATACGTTTCCACCAGGTCCGGAAACACCAGTTCCACTGACCTCGTCACGATCAAATTCACCATCTTCCGTGTCTTCATCTTCATCTTCTTCGCATCCATCCATATCTTCCGTATCGTCCAATCTACTGTTGTCTGATGTCATTCCAGTCCGCGAATGTGAGTCACGTCCGGATGACGAGGTCGCTCCCGAGTCTGCGTTCGGAGCGACCACGACCACAGCCTTTTTGGGGGCACTGGATTTACTTTCTATGGTTTCGTCCTCTTCGCAAGATGGATCACCAAGTTCTCGAGATCCCTTCTTCGCTTGCTGTTGAGAAGGGACAGACTGTTGCTGTTGTTGCATTTCTGGAGAGAGTGGAGAACCTCCACTCAACCGTTCGCCCTCTACACCACGCATAACTACAATTACACGCTTCTTCTTTTTCGAACTGAGTTGACTAACAGCGGAATAAGATGTCAACCCACCACCGCTACTACCACTGCCACTGATATTGCCACTTACAGCGATTGATCCGGTACTACCTGTCGGTCCTGTAGAGCTACTAGACTGAGGTAATTCACCAGCACCAAGAGTGGAACCGCGAGTTGGCAGATTCATTAAACCCGTACTGGAATGTCCCAACTCACCCCCAGTCCCGGACGGGAGTCGTGTCTGTTTGCGTTCAGCGTCTTCGGATCGCGAACCCCGGGATGCATGGATTCGGGCTTGGAGTAAATGAGGGAACGATCCAGTCGGTTCAGAAACGGTCATATGGGCCAATTCACCCAATCGTTCGTCGTACAACATTTCAGTTGAGAGCTGATGCTGTAACCCTCGCAGTAAGCTGTACAGCACGGTCGGATGTGTCGCAGTGACACCACGGAGAGCAGGAACAATAAATCTACCTTCAGGACGGAGTAGGCTGGCTACCAAACTGGGAAGCCAAGGCAAAAATGCATCTGGTCTAACACGACTGGCACGTTCTTCAAAAGTACGGGCAAGACGCTGGTGACCTTTGGTGTCATCATCTAGAGTGAGAAGCCAAATACATTTCGAAAGATCAGCGCGACTGCGACGTTCTTGACCACCCGCCACACTAGCTGCTTCCATCAGCGCCTGCATGGCAAAGATACCCGTTGTGGATACCGCTACTTCTCGTTTACTGAACGCATGAGAAATGGGGAGAATGGTGGATTGGAAGAGCATGATGCAGTTAATTATATGAATTATAAGAAGGCAATGTTTTTAAATAATTTATTCCCCTAGCAATGTTTCCTAAAATTTTATCCAGAAGAAACGTAACTTGAACAACAGACATCACAAGGCGGAATTCCGTTGAGTGATGGAAGAACCCTGAAGAGTACCTATCGCACTCTACGTTGAGTGGATGAAAAAATGGGACATGAGAGCTAAGGAGTGATCTCATAGTATCATCATCATCATCATCGTACAGCGAGATACCGTGAAGCGAACTTCATGACCGCTGCCAAACTCACAATGTATACAAGGTTAGTGGTAAAATTTAAGGTGGACAGGGGTTAGATCTATTTTGAGGAAGAGAGAAAAAGATGAGCCACTATGGTCAACACACAGAGTACCTAATCGAACTCTGCATACATACCGTTTCAAGCATTCTGACCTGANCAAGAAAGCCAGTGCTGCCGGTTCGCTGTCATATCCTTCAGTGTCTCCAACCAACCAGTTGTGGAGTCTTTCGAACCCCA